CTCCAACAAAGTTTGTAGCGTTATCGCAAGATATATTTTGGCAGTGACCTCGGCGAGCTATAAATCGTTTAAGAGCGCCAATGAATGATTCAGTTGATAGGTCCGATACGAGCTCTAAGTGAACTGCCTTTGGTGCAAAGCAGCAGAATACAGCTACATAAGCCTTTGTTGGTCGTTTGCCCCTGACCTTGTAGAGTATCCAAAATGGTCCACAATACTCGACTCCAGAGTTGATAAATGGTCGAGCAGGAACTACCCTTGTCGCTGGCAAATTTCCCATTATTTGTTGATATAGTTGTGGTCGCGCTCTATTACATTTTATGCATTTTTGAACGGTAGACCATGCTGTTATCTTGCCTTTTATTGGCCAGAATCGCTGTCTTATTGTGTTTAACAGGGCTTGAGCTCCACAATGTTTGTTTTCTTCGTGACATATCTTAAATAGCAATTTCACCAAAGGATCATTATAAGGCAATATCATTTGGTGTTTCGCATCCATTTGTAGCATAGCATGTTCCAATCTTCCTCCAACGCGAAGAATGCCTTCATCATCCAAAAACGGTGATAAACTGCATAGCGAGCTATGCTTATTAATCTGCTTTACAGCCTTCAATGCATTGATATCACCTGCAAATTCGGATGATTGTACGGCTTGAACTATTAGACGAAGGGAGTCGTCTAATTCGCTGGGAGACACTGCTATATGTTGAGGCCGGTGTGCCTTTTGCATATCTAAGCACGTACGCCAAAATTCTTTGTAACTTCCTGAATGAATTTTTGTGCTCGATTATATGTATTAGATGCATGTGGGAAGCTACTATTGACGTCGTAGCTGCAGTCTTTAACTCCATGATATTTGTTATATACTCTTGCGAAGAGAATTTGGTCGGCCATAGTTCTTCTTTTCCATGAAGAAAAACTGGACCATGAAACCATAATCGGCATTTAGAAAGATCAGCTGGCGAGAGACCTCGGGATAAAATGTCGGCAGGGTTTTCTTTTGACTTGATGTTGAGTTGAGTTTGAGTTGAGCTGCTACCACTGTGGCACATAGCTCTAATCGTGGTAGAGTTTGTTTTTTCAAAGGAGCTACCTTGGATTTAGCACAGATCAGACATACAACTACTCGTCCATCTTTTCCAATAAAACGAATGTAAATAGCCGCGCCAAAAGCTCTTTCCGATGCATCGGCAAACACATGCAACTGGATTTTCGTCGGGATCTCCCCACAGAATACATGTCGTGGTATCTTAAAATTGTTGAGACCTTCCAATTCCCTTCGAAATGTTTTCCAAGTGGCACAAAGTTTTTAGGGTAATGCTTCGTCCCAATCTAATGTATGTTGCCACAGCTGCTGAATAAATATTTTTGCCTTCACCACAATCTGTGCAAGTAGGCCAAGCGGATCAAACAATTTTGCTAGTTCAGACGTAACTACTCGTTTTGATATGATTTCATTATGATCAATGTTTGATTTTACACAAAATTGATCTGCTTGCGGCATCCAATATAATCCCAACGTCTTTATTGTTTGAGATTCGTTGAGATCACTTCTCGATCGCTATGTGGTATGTTCTTCAGCAATCTTGGTGTATTGGATGACCATTTCCTTAGAATGAAGCCGTGTTGCTTCAAGATTGTGACTAACTCCTTTTGGATTTCAATAGCTGTACTTAGGCTATCTGCACCACAGAGACCGTCATCCATATAAAAATTATCTTTCAGCATTTGTGAGCCTAATGGATAACGCTCCATGTTTTCGTTTGCAATCTTTTGTAAGCATTTTGTAGCATTGAACGTGTCCCATATGTGACCGTATTAAGTTTGTAATAGCTGACTGGATGGGATGGATCCTCTCTCCAGATAATTAGCTGATACCTTTGATCATCGGGATGCATTAAAATCTGCCTGTACATCTTTTCAATATCGGTTGTGAAAACGAATTTTGGCAATCGAAACCTCAGCAAAATAGAAAACAGTTCACTTTGCACGATTGTCCTGTATACATTAGATCATTTAACGATTGACCGGATGAAGTTTTCGCTGATGCGTCAAATACAACCCTAAATTTTGTTGTTGTACTATCGGGCTTAAGAACACAATGATGCGGAGTAAAATATTTAGGATTTGATACGGTACCCACGTCAATCTTTTGCATGTGTCCTAATTGTTCATACTCTCGCATAAATTTAATGTACTGGCTTCGGATATCTTCCTTCTGTAGAAGTCGGCGTTCAAGGCTCATAAATCGGTTATAAGCCATTGCATGTGATTTCCCCAATGCTGTTGGAGATTCTTGAAACGGAAGACTGACGATGAAACGATCATTCTGATCCGTCTTAACATGTTGATTGAAGTGAGATTCGCAAAGGTTTTCCAATGGAGACATCACCTTTTCAGTTGATTCCACTTTCTCAAGTTTCCATAATTTTTCAATAGCTTGTTCCAGTGATGTTTCACTAAAAATTGCGCATGTTAGCGCTGCCGATGTGTCGTCCGTAGACGATTGTTGAATTAAACCACCTACAATCCAGCCAAGCGCAGTATTTTGGAGTATGGGTTGATGACCATTTAGTTTTATTGTGCCTGGTTGCATTAAACTGAAGTAAAACTCCGCTCCGAGTAAAATGCCAATTTTAAACGTTAAAATTAGGGTCTGCTAATCTAATATTCTTGAGAATTTGCCAGTTTTGTATATCCAAATCATGATTTGGTTGTGCAGGTATAATTGTGGGCAAACAAATGCTTCCAAATTTGTGAAAAATTCAGAATTGCTTGATAACATTTGTATGTTTACCCGATGGTAAGCCTTCTTTTGAATCCTTCCGACTCCGGAAATAGATAACGATGCATCCGCTGTTCTAAGTGACAATTTTTGTATGAGTCTTTCCGCCACAATGTTCACTTTCGAACCCGAGTCTAACACCGCTCTAAATTCGCCTGACATACCGTTAGCCGCCTTGATAATGACTCTAGCCGTTGCTAGGATTACATTTTTCTGATCTTCTGCTGATGCCGAAGAAACTGCAGTAATATTGTCTGGTGCGGTATCACTTTTTGTTGGTGTCGTTTGATTTGAGACCTTCGGTGACGGTTGAGACTTTTTGGGCAAATGTAGCAATGTATTGTGCTTATTACTACATATTTTGCAGTTGCCAGAAAAACAAGTTTTTGCAGCATGGTCCGATTTGAAACAATTTACACACAATTTATGTTGCTGTATCCATTTCAATCGCTCACCTTCTGTCATTGCCAAGAACTTCTTACAATGATAAATTGGATGGGAGTCGTTACAACTCCTGTAATCCTCCACTGACGTTACGGCCGAAACAGGTTTGATTGAACCCTTGTGGTTAGATGCCGCTTTTCCAATCGATTCCATTGATTCAAATTGTAGCTCCAAAAATGCAAACAGCTCTTTCATAGCAGGAACTTCCTTCGGATTCGTCAGTGATTGCATGAATCGTATGTACAGCACGTGATCCAATTTCTTTGTGATCAATTGAATCAATAGAGCATCCCAAGACGTAGTGTCGATTTGAAGATTGTTGAGGGCTAGCATGCATTCCTTTGCAGAGCCTTGATGGAAGCCGTTGATGAAGTTCCATTTGGTTGACTCAGAATTCGTTCTACTAGAGTGGAAACAAGAACCCGTTTATTGTTATAACGTTCTTGCAGCAACATCCATGCCGTTTTGTAATTATCCTTTGTCAAGGATAGATGGCTGATTAGTTTGCCAGCTTCGCCAGAAAAAGTGGTTTTGAGATACCACATTTTTTGAACACTTGGAAGAGACTGTTTGTCTACCATCTCCAAGAAAAGTTCATAGAACTGACGCCACTTCAAACAATCCCCATTGAATTGAGGAATTGTTACCTTTGGTAGTGGGAGTGAACTGTCACGGTCACGGTTTCGCTGCATTTGTCTTTCAAGACTGCTAGTTTTATTAGGTTGTCTTGTACAGCATCTTCCAGAATATCGTAATTTTCTTGACGCAATCCAATTTTCGATGGATCTTCAATCTGCTGTAATATTTCATCGTAGAGCTCTGTTATTTGATTCCACAGCTTTTTTATTGTATCTTCTTTGATGGTATAAAATTGCTTCGGCTGTTCTGCTTCGATTGTGCCCAAGCCTTACAAGTGACGACTAAGGGCACTCATTCGAGCATTTATCATTCTGGCAAGTCCATCAACACGGGAAGGTATATTGTCTCCTGCGACAACTTTAGTCGAGTTCTCCCTCAAGGTGGGAATTGGCTTACTTTTGGCTGACCTCAGTTTTTTCATTTCCGCATCTATATATTCCATTGTTGCGCTAAACTTCTCTCCAATCGTTCTGAGTAGATTCCGAGCAATATACGGATCATCTTCTGACAAAGATTGATCATCGCGAATTATGTTTTCTGCCCTCTCAAAACTCTGCCATAACAGCCTTAGTTCATCAAGTTTGCCCTTGTAGAACTCTTCCGTTCTTCTTTCAAGAGGAGCCTTCTTTATAGTAGAGACGAATTTTTCGAAATTACTGCCTCTTTCTTCTTGTTGAGAAATAAGCTCTTGGAAGTTTGCCATTATTGTTTGTTGATTTATTAGCGAGTAGCAGCAGTTGTTGTATGATGATTAGTTACAGGCAATTTCCTACTGTTTTTCCTTCAGAGCTCCAAAAGGGGGTTTTTGAAATTGGTACGCGTACGTTACGTTACGTCCTTACACCTTGTGGATAACGTCACCAAAAAATGTTTCAGTTTAGTTACCGATCCTGACGGTCGGGGTCACCAAAAAAGGTTGCGTGTTCAAATCACGTCGGGGTCACCAAAAATGTTTTGATAGTAGGATCTAGCGCGATTCAATTCAAACACATAAATTTGAACTGACACTTAGTATCCAAATTAATTTCCTTGCAAGCACATGAACTTGAAGGAAGCCGCCTAGATAGTAATTAAAACTCTTAGTTTAGTTACTACAAAAGACGACTGAATTTTCTTTATGTTTGGCTTTCTTTATATACATAATTACTTAACATAATTAATTACAAAATGCTATTGATAAATGCTGATACAAATTATTAGTAATGTATGTCGGTCGCTAGCAGACATTAAATGCTATGTAAGCAAAATAAATGTGTTAAAGAAATTTAAAAACATTGCAAAAGTGAATGAACAAATGGCCAATGAACTTAAATAAAGAAAATTAACTGTAACAATAAAAGAATCCAAATATGTTAAATAATAATGCTGTATAAGCAGTTTAAACAAAATACATGAAAACTTATAAATATGTAGGTGTGCTAAAATGTAGTAATTATTATTAATTGTTTTGGAAATTAATTTATAAAGTATGTTTATAGAACAACCAAAAATATTTATGTATGTTTTAACATATGGCAATGATGAATTTCTCAATGTTATGCAACTATGATTAGGAGTGAAACGGGAAGAGGCAGGAACAAATATGTGTTTACGAAATGTTTTGGATCCAAGAGGAAACGGGGGAGAGGAATATATACGCCCTAGCTTTCAGTTTGATGGTAGTTATGTTTATTTCATATTAATACTATTGTGTTTATGTTAAATCGAACTACGTTGAGTTTTGGGCATGCGCGGAGCTTTCCGAAATGTTTACAAGCGAAAAGGGGGCACATATGGCAAGCAATCTATATGGATTATAGGGAACAACAACAACGTACATTTATCAAATATTAATGAATTTGGTAATCTTAAGCAACTATGACAAGTAGTGAAAAGGGAAGAGGCAGGAACAAACATGTTTTTTTCGGAATGTTTGTATACAAGAGGAAAAGGGGAGAGGAGTGTGTACGCTCCTCGTTTGACGATACTCATTTTTATATTAATACCAATGTGTTTATGTTAAATCGAGCATCTTTGAGTGTTGGGCATGCGTGGAGCTAACCGAAATGTTTACAGGGGGAATTGGGAGAAATATGACAAGCAATCTATACGGATAATAGGGAACAACAACAACATGCATCCATTGTATCGATAAAAATGGTCAGCGGAAGAGACGGAATGCCAAAACCGAACCATTGGGCATACATATGATACACAACATTATGAATTTAGCAATCTTATGAAGCTATGATACGAAGGGAAAAGGGAAGAGGCAGGAATAAATGTATGGAATTTTATTGACAATCGGAATATCTGGTTTCAAGAGGAAAAGATAAGAGGAGCCTAATGTGCTTAGCTCCTCTCCGCTTTTCCTCTAATTTTAATGGGTCAATGAACATTAGGTAAAACCAAGATTAGCAGTAATGGAATTAAACAACCGAACTATTGAAAGGAAAACGAAACGGAAAAACGGATTAAGATAAAAAGGGAAATATATATTTTCCTGCATTCAGGGAAACTTTTAATAAATTTAAATGTTTCTGCAAAGACAAAGATATACGCGGCAAGTAAATGTATAATTTGTGGATAACATATGTTAAGAGCTGATAATGGACGACACATATCAAAAGAAAAATATAAAAAACGCAAATATATTTAAATCGCTTTGTATTCGAAATGTACGAATTGTAACCTCTAAATTGTTGTTGATGCTTGTAAAAAAGAACCTAAAGAATAATTAAAAGTGATTTTTTCGTCGATATTGCATTTGCTTTTGCATTGGACTTTTATTTTTCGGAAAGAAAGTACTGTATCTCCCGAATGTATATATAGGATATGTTTGCTCATATCCTATATAGGTTAGTTATATTAAATCTATGCACAGAAAATAGTTCTATTGGGACGTGTA